TTCTTTAAGAGACTGACTAGTTTATATTTTGAAGATTTATCTAGCTTATATTTTGAAGGTTTATAATTAGTAAACAAAAGCACAATTATTTGCTCAGCACATACAGACATATATATATATATATATATACACACAGATAGGATCCCTTCATCCTATCCCTAATGGCTTTATAACTTGTTTTAAAACAAAATCACTAATAAGTCACTTCCAAAAATGTATTTATGTATTTATATAAAGTACCTAATACCATACCATGTTTAACACCACAGGTACTCACATAATAGTATGCTATTATTCGAGTTTTTTATTTAAAAGCAAATAATTGTATAACATTAAATGCCATCATGGGTTTATTTATTTTATGTGTTTAGTAAAGGGTCTACAAGGTCTCACTACACAGATCAGACTCGTAATGAACCTCCTGTATCCAGTCTACCAAGCACTGGGATTACAGACACGCGTCACCATTCCCAGACTAAATGCCCGGGGGGGGGGGGGACCTGCATGACATGCTGGGGATCGAACTGGTCCCTACCTCGGCCTAAGCAGGTCCTTTAATCTGCTGAGCTATCTGGCCAGCCAATGGATTTATTTACAGTTGTTTAAGGTATTCATGTAAGTGTAGGCTAGGTAAAGCCACAGGATTTCTCTGTAACTTTCTCAGTATGTATAATTATTTCAAAACAAAAAGGTGGGGTTTCTTTTCTTTTTTTTTTTTTTTTTTTGTGAAACTGGGGATTGAACTCAGGCCCTTGCACTTGCCAGGCAAGCGCTTATTCTCCTGAGCCATCTCCCCGGCCCTATGGGGTTTCTTTTCTTTATAAAGTCAGCTGTTGTAGCTGAAGCCCAAGGAGGAACCTACAGTTAAGTTTTTTCAGATGATTCTTGGGTGCTTTTCCAATACAGAAAAAAAGCATAAGTCTTGTTGCTTTCCTTCTCACCATTTGTTTTGAGTTGCTTCATTATATAGAGTGTTTTAAAACCCCTATGAGAGTTTACCAGTCTACTATAACCATAGAGAGAATAATAAAATCTTGTCATATACAAGATATTCTCTTATTTGAATTTGTGGGGACACTGGTTTTTTCCCCCAAGTAATACTTAAAATTGCAGTTTTCCCTGGGTCGTCTTAACATTGAAACAGAAGTCAGCCTCCCTGCTTGGAAATAGCATGTTTTATAATTGTGTACTGTTAAGTTCTACAAGGTAAAACTCTACCACATTGGAACAGGAATGACCAGAAGAAGACAAAAGTAAAGAAGAAAACAAGCAATCCACAGTTTAATGAAATCTTTTACTTTGAGGTAATTTCTTGTTTCATATAAATGTTGACATTGAATATTCAATATTGAATTCTAATTGATTTCTTTTTTCAAAACATGGCCATGGTAATTGTTTTAGCAACTAATCCAGCTAAGCATTTCTATCCAGAAAATAGGAGAAGCATGATGTAATGCACATAAAATGGATAAATGAAGCGTTTTTCTTGGTGTAGAAGTAGGGAGGACTAGGGCTACACACATTCAGTCCCATCCTGTTCACTGTCATATGGTCCTCCAAATCCTCATATTCCCTTTCAGACCCCCACCTGCTACATAATGTCCAAAGACTCCTCTACAGCAAACTGTCTGAAAGCCTCTAATAAAATAAATATGATTATGATTTGGTGGATCTGAACTTTTAATTCCATTTGGCTTTAAACAAGCCATATTTAGGCTCAAGTTGCTTAGTTCACATATTACCTTATGCAAAGGTAGTATTTTAAGGGAAAACAGTAGCAGCAAGAGTTTTTTCTTATAATGCCCAAAGCACGGGGAACCCTTTGAAAAAAATATGTTATATAGTTAGAGCCTTGTCACTAAGTTCTTTTTAATCTGATTTACCCTGTGAACATAAAAGTTATTTTCGTGGAGATCTTCATCTGCTTGAAATTGTCCCCAGTTCATTGCGTTAAAGTTCTTTGCAGTTTTTGTTAAAGAAATCCTTTTTCATATTACTTGAAGACCACAAGGGGAAAAAAATTGAAAATCAGACTTTGTAAAAGATTCTGTAATCATGGAACATGTTGCAGTTGATACTGGTGTGAGAAAGGTTTGAAAAAAGGAGTTACATTTTGTGACTTTTCTTCTTTGTATATGTTTTTCCTTTGTATATATTTTAAAGTGGAAAGAATATAAGGGAACTTATGCTCCATTACTGTACTTTAATAAAGGAGCACCAGCTGAAGAAAATGTGAGAAGTGAAATAGGAAACTGAGTGGGTGGAAGCAAGATAGAAAGAGAACAGAAGAAAATGTAATAATGTTAGACTTTTCCATTTTGTGGCAAAGACTTGATGCAGATGATCTACATTTGTTAACAACTGTTAACCTCCAACCTGAAGAAGATAAGGCAGCAACTTAAAATTATATTCAAGGAAGGGCGAATAGTGACTTAACTAAATGTCTTTAAGAAAATAGTAGGAAGTAAGTTTAGAAAGATAAGATAGAACCAGCTGATGAAAAACTGCAGTGCCTGGCTGGGGTGCTTTAACAGTTGAATGTTTTTAATCATGGAAGTGATAAGTAAAGTAGTGTTTCTGGAAAGAATCAACCATGATCTGAGTGATGCTGGCTTAGAGAATACAAAGCTCAAGAGACTGTTATAGTGTAGGTGTAACAAAAGGACAGGTCTGTTTAAAGAGAATAATACAGAAATAGAAAGGGGCAGATGAGAAAGACACTGCAGAGGGCAAGATAACAAATTAGTGATAGAAGAAACGAGAAGTCAAATTTTAAAATCTGGAAAAATAGAAAAACTGGGAGAAAGATTAGTGACTTAGTTTGGGGCATACCAAGCTTGAGATCTGACATGTAAAATGCTGTAATAGGCTCTTGATCACTAATACATAAGATGGGCTGATGGTTGTAGATTAAGATCCTGCTAAGGTTGTAGATTAAATCCTGCTAAGGGAGTAGACATACAATAAAGTAGAGAAGTGAAGTTTTGTCCTTATTAAGGGTCTTTGAACATGTCATTTCATTTCTGTACTTTAGCTTCCTCATTTTTAAGATGAGGGTAGTAAATCTAGCCATGCTGCCTCAGAGCAGCATTCTGATAAACAAAGGAGATAATGGATGTGAAAGCATTTTGTAAACGGTTCAGGCCTGTGCAGCTCCCAGTTGTTTGTAGAGCAGAGTAAAGGAGAAAACCTTGGAGAATATATTCCTATTTATTGTTCTGAGGAAAAAAACAGCAGGTGAAGGGTATCAGGGTAAACTCAAAGCAAAAAGTGTTTCAGAGAAAAATACTGTGGTTATATTGATCACTATTTTAGAGAGCAAGGTCAAGGACAGTGAAAGTAAACATTGATCATCAGATTGGGAGATGCAGATAGAGATTTTAAGAGGATGATCTGTGAGGAAACCAGATATAAAGAGTTACTGTCGAGAGTGGGTGGTGAAGTGCAGGCTGTGGGATGAATTACAGTTTTAAGATACTTGTCTGAGAGAAGAAAGATACAGAAAGACCATGATTTAAGGGGAGAATTTTTCTGACTTTAGCGACATGATGAACAAGTTAGTAAAGAAAGCAGTAATTAAAATATCTCGGATGCTGTCTGTATGCCTATCACACACTGTATGTGGGTAGCATAGTCTTAGAAAAGAGAATCATCTTATTCTCTTGTTGAGAAGTGAATGAGAAAAATCAAATAGGGAAACCTGTGTAGAGTGGATATACTCAGATGGATAGTAGTTGAGGAAGTTCCCATCGGTAGTCTTCCCCTCCTCCCCTACTGGAGATTGAACTCAGGACCCTGTGCTTGCTAGGCAAGCACTTACTCTATTGAACTATCTCCCTGGCCCCCCCATTAGTAGTCTTGATTTTTTTTTCATGAAAAATGTAAGAAGGACACCTGAGTAGGATTGATATTTTGCTTGAAAAATTAGAGAAAGCCTTTAAACAATTTATCAATTTCATTGGAATAGTACATTTTCACTTTGAGTCACTAGCAGATAACCTGTGAACCAGAGAGCCTAATGTTTGTTTACTGTATATTAAGCTGATAAGAGTTTTTGTTCTTTGTTTGGTTGATTTTTTTACTCAATTTTATTCTTAAATTCTGCCACTTCCATAGCATAATTTCCACACTTCTGGGTAAAATATTATCACAGCATTTTTCTCTATTTATAGCCAAAATTGAATGTTTGGGGGTTGGTCATTTTTAAGTCGATGGGATTTTTTTGAGGGAAGGGGAAGATACTTTAACAATGTTTTTATTAAAATATTTTGTTTATAGGTAACCAGATCCAGTAGTTACACCAAAAAATCCCAGTTCCAGGTAGAAGAGGAGGATATTGAAAAGCTAGAAATTAGGTATGTGCCTTGGGATTTAACAGAATTGCTTTTTATCTGTGCCAAATAAAAAGAAAAACAATTCCTAAATCTAACTGAGAAAGGTGGACTAGCCTTTAATAGAATTTTTAAGTTGATGACACTTAGGAGAACATGCATCTAATTTAAATATAAGTTATCTTTATAATCTGATGTATTTGCAGAAATAAAGTATATTTTATAAACAAAGATGACTTAATTTTCACTTATTGTATTTTTAATTTTTTCTTAATTAAATTCCTTAAATATTTGGATCATAGCATAATGAATGGACAATTACATTTAAGCCAATTTAGAAATAATTGTTTTATTCTTCTTAACATATCTGCTGACTATCAGAATTTTCAGTGAGGTAAGAAGATAATTCATCAGGTGCATGTGTTTGAAGTTTGTGATATTTTTTAGGTCTTATTTAGAAAGGAAAGTTTTCAAATGCATGTGTAGATGTGGTGTTAAGAGTGTGTCATCTAAAGGATATATTAATCATTTGTTTGGAGTGATCAGGTAGTACATATTTCTGAGTCACCTATTTTTATGGCTTGGTAATAAAGAGAAATTGTAGTCTTGTATTAGTTTCTTTTCTCAAATTCAATGAAATAACTTTGCTGTCCTTACTGCTACAGGTTAAAATAAAGCCTATGCTGTTCATGCTAAGAAACCCAATGCCTTCTTTTAGATTGTTTAGAATTTTTGTGTGTGTTTTAAAATAAAAGCCACTGTAGTATTTTGTTTTCCTCATATATATGTGTATGTATATGTAGTGAGGTATGTGAAAATGCTAACATCTCTTTTAAGCATGTAAAACTAATGCTATAATATAAAGACAGTAATTTGGTTTCTATTCTCAAACATTGTTTGCATAAATAAAACCAGTTTTCAATTTTCAGAATCGACTTGTGGAATAATGGAAATCTAGTCCAAGATGTTTTCCTGGGTGAGATTAAGGTTCCTGTGAATGTGTTGAGAAATGACTCCTCTCATCAAGCCTGGTAAAAAACATTCTCTTGAACTCCATAGATTGATCCTTCTTTTTAATACAATTACAAGCAAATAAATACTAGTTGAAATATATTTTAAATTTTCTATGGAAGAAACCAAAAGTAATTTGGTTATGAATTTATTATTGCAGAAATATAAATGCTACGATAACATAAAGACATATGATACATAAAAGAACTAAGTAGTCTAAAATATTTTTCTGATTAACAATGAAATCTTAACACTAAG